TTCCCGACACTCTCACCAGTGTGATGTATTATTCGACTTTGAATCTTTGCTAATATGTGAAGAAAAAAATAGTATATATCATCATTTTACTTTGCCTTCCTTCTTAGGCATTTTTTCTGCTTGTTTGTGGAGGAGCAAAATCTGTGAACTACCTGCTTCTATGTATACCCAACCTTAATGTCCCGAATTAAACTTCTTAGCCTTCATCCCTCATGAACTTGTCCTCCACAGCAGTAGTTTCCAAACCTGGTTAATCATTTGACTCAGATCTACTGAATCAGATTTCTAGGAGATGAGGCCAAGGTTTTGTTTTGTTTTGTTTTTTTAAGATTTTTCTATAGGGCATGTGTATGTACCAGAGAGTGATAGAGAGAGGGAAAGTGAGACAGTACCTCCCATGGGAGATGGCCACACCAAATTCCCTTCTCCTTCAGCTTCCTCTCGGGATTTTAAGCACACATGCACACAGTCCTGGCATGATTTTCAAGGCAACAGTACTAGTACTCAAACCATGGTCCATCATGTGGGAGTCCAGTGCCTTGACCACTACACCACCTTCTGGCCCCCAAGGATCCATACTTTTTATCAAAGCGGTGATTATTCCAAGAGACAACACATTGGGGAACCTCAGCTTTAGAAACAGGGACATGTAAGAAGGAGAGGAGAAGCAAATTGTGTCTTTTCACATGATGCTAGAGTGACAAATCTATTATTGCCACAGAATTGAGTTATGAAGTGATATGGTAGGGTTGGGTGCAGCCAATGGCATGATGGTTAAGGTGCTGGATCCCATGTAGCCAACTGGAGTCCTCCACTTAGATATGTGTGTGTGCCCAAAATCCTGAGAGAACAGAGGAAAAGGGATTACAACATGACCACACCCCCTGGGGGGTAGTTTCTCACTTTCTCTCTTTCTCCATCAAGTGCACATACCCTACAGCACATATTTATTTATTTATTTTTTAAGAGAGAGATTTTTGCTATAGGGTGCAGATAGACATAGAGATAGAAAGTAAGAAATCACCTCCCGGAAGGATGACCACACTGCTATCCCTTCTCCTCTGTTCTCCTCTCAGTATTTTGGGCATGCATACACACATGCTCGTAACCATCATGCCATCTAGGTAACCATACAGCACATTTTCAAAAAAGAAAAGAGTGATTTGGTGGGCATCTGGGGATTCTTTTCTGAGCACCTCTTCTGTGCCAGACACATGGGATACATCAATGTGAAAGACACTGTCCTTGTCCTAAAAAAGCCTAGAGGCCAGCAGAGAGGATCAATGTAAATAAGAAATTACACAAATGATTAATTATTAGTTGTAATTTCTGTATGTGTAATAAAGGAGGGATACAGGCTGCATGAGAGCACATCATGGGGTTGCCTTCCCTGGAGTTGTTTTTGTGTTTTTTTTGGGTTTTTTGTTTGTTTGTTTGTTTTTAATGCAAGAGTAAGGGGTTCAAGGAATGCTTTCCTAAGGAAGTGTTATTCAAGGTGAGACAGTGGAGATGATGAGCTGATACTACAGAGGAAATCTAGCTTCAGTGTCAGGGGTGACTTTGGACAAGGGAAACCATCGGGATGGCTGCTGGCAAGCTAGACGCTCTTGGCAGGCTTGTCATGCAGAGGCTTTGTTCCAGTGTGGGAGAGAAGTAATGTGTACCAGCGTGGCCTGTGTGAAGGCTGATTGCCCAACCTGCTCAAACCGTGGCTTACAAAGACTCTGAGATACCACTGAAGAAGTTGGGACACTGATTCCTCTGTTCACAAGGAGAATGCAAAACTTCCAAGTGGCAATAGCGAGCGTTTTCATCCAGCGTTTCCCATGCAGTTTTATTTTGCTTTGTTTTGGTTTTTGTTAAGAGATTTTTTTTTTTTTTTGCTACAGGGCATGTGCACTTGCCAGAGAGACTGAGAGAGACAGAAAGTGAGAAATCACCCCCTAGGGGATGACCACACCACAATCCTTTCTCCTCCATTCTCCTCTTGAGATTTTGGACATGCATGCATACACGCCCAGTATGAGTTTTAAACCATCATGTCCGGGACTTGAACGTGGTCAACTACATGGGAATCCAGCAATGTAACCATTATGCCATCTGCTGGTCCCTCCCATGCAGTTTTATCTGCACTCTGCAGAAGGATCTGGATTTGCTGCACATCCTTCCTTTTTTTTTTTTTTTACCCTCTCCTGCCTTCTGCCTCTTGAAGTATCTGCAGACTGGGAGGAGAGTTACTAGAATTTGCGAAAGTATAAGAACTAAGGAATTCCACTTTCTGGTTTTCTGCTCTGACCTCAGAAATACCCACTACATTGTTAAGTACATGTTCTCTTTACTAATGGTGGGTAAACAAAGACGTGGGTGAGTTTTCTGCTACACCTAATTTGAGATGTAGAAAACCAAAGCCACAGAGCAGGGTCAGTCAGCTCTCAGCCTGATTTACGAGCATTTAGAACAACAAGAAGAAAAAAACAGGGATTACTAAGAGGTCAGCAGGGGGTCACTAAGAATAAATCCAAACAAACTCAACTTCCTTCCTTTTTAATTTAATTTAATTTTATTTTGCAATTGGCATGTTAAGCTGTAAGCTGTTAGACTCAGTTGTTCAGACTGTTGGTTCATAAACCTTCCTTTATTTATTGAGGGCCCATGTGTCCAAAGCACTGAATATTCAAAGATGAATACAAAAGAGTTTTTTTCTTCAAAGATCTTACCTTTAAGAGGGGGGACAAAAGTCAACACACTTTTTTACAGATC